CTTCTGGTCACAAAAAATATCAAGCACATTTATCTTGGCATCTATTTCGTCAAGAATTTTAGTGAATTTGTGTATACACAGAGGAATTAAGTGTGTGCGATACATAAGCATTACAGATATACTCGCGTGATCAGTGAGAATATTTCACTTCTTTTTTGAAACATCATAATTTGACGAAATAATGATGTTTCTCTCCGGCTTCTGTCACTAGTACACGTCTTTATCGCAGAAATAGGAAGCGAATTCCTCATTCTGCTAGATTGCTGGGGCTAATACATCTTTGTGAGCTTCTTCGGTTGTTTTTTGGCTTACATATCGCCGCAATACTAAATAACGTTCAATAAACCAAAAGACTGACAAAACTGCCCACTTCCAAACAACATAATTAGCTTTTCGCCTTCGTCAGTGTGAGGTCAAGCAGTCTTAAGTGCCTACAATTAAGCTATCACGTTAAGGTTGGGCAATACGAAGAAAAAACACCCGAAACGTCTGTGTGCAACAAAAGTCCAACATAATACTTTAAATAGAACCAAAAGTCTTTAATAGAATTGAAAGATTTCTTAAGATGTAGGTTTAAGAGATAAAAGGTTTTAACAGAAATAAAAGGTTCTTTATTGATAAAGGTCGTTCTTTAAATTAAGTCATCCTCCGATACAATAACAAACACTTACACGAGGCTTCATATACAAGCAGTTAGTTGTATATTTATAGGATGCTAAATTACAAATAGCTAAAGAAAGTAAGAATTAAGTTTAGTTGACAAGACAAAAAGCTGTGGAGTCCATTTACAAAATAAAGGAAGAGGCAACATTTTGAAAGAGGCTAAGAAGAACAAAATTAGCATCGGTGTGAAGAGAAGGTTTAAGCATAGATATGAGAAGGCTTTCTTCAATCACGAGCTCTTAATTGTCATAGGAAGAGAAAGTTGCGAAGTCATTAAAAACGGCAAAGTGGGATGTGTTTCTTCGAGAAAGAATAGCAGATGGTGGTAGACAAAAAAAGGATGTCTTACTTCGAAGAAGAAACGTCATTATTTAAAAAACCTTTTAACTCTATCTACTTTCGTAATAGCTCTTTTTTAAAGTCCTATGCTGAGCTAGAATATTCATAACTGTAAAATTCACCTTTCGTCTGGCAAATCTCTGGTCACGATTTTAAACATGCGATTTTGATTACTTTTGATGACTACACTGAAATTTCTTTTTAACAGAATACACTACAAGCACGTCATATACAAAGAGTAATGAACCTCGACTCTGAATTCAATTTTAGAAACCGCTTTACACCTTTATATAGCTCTCCATACTTACATGTAATAAACGTTAAAGAGTTCATGGAATATTTCAACCTGCAGATTGAAATTTTCATACTCGAAATCATGGCCAAAGACTTACGGGCGGAATGCGTATTTTCATTATTAATATTATATAGTCAAAAACATGCAAGACTTTAAGAAAGAGCTATTACGACAATAAATTAGAGATAAACGTTTTTTTAATGAAGGCGTTTCGTCTGTAGACATCTTCCAGACTCAACACTTTTTCAGATACAATGACAATTATGTTCACGAGGGTTTAAATACATGGAGAGGTGTCATCAATAAGAAAAACTTTTGTTTCTAACTTATAATCGTGATGGCTCTATTACTAAAAATCTTATGTTGGGCTATCAGCCTATCACATTCACAATGTATATTTCTTTATTTCAGTAATATTATATATTCATATCGCTGTCATTCGTTATCATGAAGCATGTGCAGATTCTAGTGTGTTGAGCGCAAATTAGTAAACAACGTTAAATTGTAAATTAATTAACACTACTTATTTGATAATTTTAAACGACGAAGTTTTTCTTATTCCGATAATAATTCCAAACGAGACTCCAAGCTTTTTTCGCAACTGGATACTTTGTAAGTCTCGTATAGAAATATGGTATCTTTAGTCAAATATGATATGATATTCACCTTATCATGAACATCAACTCTGAATCTTATCAATTAAGCTTTTCACTTTTGACTTTCTTGACTTCACTTATGAAGAAACTCAAAAGAAACAAGAAAGTTAAAATCACCATTGTAATTTTTGCAAAAAGCAAAAACTTTGTTTTCCTGCTTGACTCCTGGTAGCTAAAACGTTTATTATGCATCCCGCATATGCTGCAAAATCAGCCATGGTCATTTCAACAGCATTTTGGCATTTTTCAAGCATGAATTACAAAAGAAGGCGTTTTCTTATTTTGGCACTTTGGGAAGAAATACTATAAAAAACCTTTAAGCTTTAACACCTAAGAAACCTCCCCCTCAACTTTCTCTTTCTAGAAAGAAATAATTTCATGGAGAAAAAAAACATTATCGTGTGCTTTAATTATTCTCAACAGCGACAAAAAGCTGTCTGATTGCGAAAAAATAACTACAAAAAGAAGTTTTTGCTGACTTGCAGTCACAGAGCCAGACGAGAAGACTATAAATAACAACATTCACGGGGAAAAATTAAGTTTAAGAGAAGCAAAGCAAGAAGAAGTAGTTCTGAGAAGGTTTGCAGAACAAGCACTTCAATTAACAATTGAATTTCGAAGGTAAAAGTCTTAATTTCGTTGGTTTGATGTGAAACATAAACGGTTGCATGCAAACTAAATTGTGGTTGGAAATGTATGTATCTAGCAAGCCAGAAAAAACGTCTGTCAATTTTATCGAATATTTTAGTTTGTTATTTTCTTGAATCAGTCATTCACACTATTAACAATTGCTAGTTGTTTATGAAATATAGCGTCACCATGCATTTCAAAATCTTAATAATCACTTTGGCATTCACCATATCCTTGTCATCTGCAGGTACGTTGCAAAAACTCACATAGCCAACTTTTCCTTCGGTTTACGCTTTAAAAAATCTTTCTTGAAAAAAGATCTCATAACACAATTAGTTCGATGTTGTTCATTATACGTTTCAAAGATAGTATAGGTAAATGTTGACTTGTTTCGCATGAATAATTTTGATCTATATGTCTCGTGTAAGCATTCCATTTCAAAGGCCACACGCGTAGTTTGTATAGATGGTAAATATGTTAACATCGTATACCAATTGTATTCAGTTAATTATTGGAACGCTTTTCATGTTTTGGATATTTCAGAAGAAGTCTTGCTTAAAATAGAAAAAATCCTACGTGACCGAAATGTAAAGTTTTCGCAACAAAAAATCACCATAGTACACATCACAAAAAAAGTTCCTTCATCAAGAAGCCTAATAATAAGTTAGATGGGGCATAATCACACGAGATCATAAGCTATATGTTGTATGCTGAATTTTATCCAATTCAACTCAAAGGAAATAAAAAGTCAAGGCCTCCCCTGACCACATACCCAGCTCTGCGGTACGTAGCTGAAGGTCGGACTAAGTATTTAATGGCCACAAATATAAGCGTTCTTTATGATAAGCTTTTAAATTTTCCACACGCTTTTTTATCATGAACAAAAACTCCACTTGAGTTTTTTCTGTTTGCTTTTTTACACATTTGTCTTCCACCTAGTTCTTCTGTTCGTCAATGTATTGGTGAATACAATTCCCTTTAAACACTCACTTAGACTTGATTTGTTCAAAATTATTATAATATCATAGGTACACGAAAATTTGCTTGGTTTGCCTTCTACTGTTGCTCTTTGTTTCTTGTTTGTCCGTGTTTCGCAGTTACTTTAAAACCACACATTCTTTATCTTCATACTGCAGATAACATACTGCTACTTAAAGGAGAATCATTCCTTCAACAGAAGCTGAAGCCATTGCAAACCGAAGCCCAAAATAAAAGCTAAGTAATGAAAACAAAGTCCCAAAAGCCAAAGTTATGTTCACTCCCTGAATCAAAAAACGCTTATAGGAAAAGCAATTGCTGATTGACAGTTATTGCACCCACACATTTCATTGATGAGATCACTTTAATAACATTTCTAGTCTCCCAGCGGATTAACTTGATCTGAACATGTCGTTTTACTACATCTTTACTAAACCCAAATGTTTTTCATTGCTCTACGAAATATAATATGATTTATCAATTTTTTCAACCTCAATTCTTTGTTCTAGGAATATATTTTATCAGAAGCTGATTGCATGAGCAACTCAGAGCGAGATGACTAATCAAGGCAAAATTTTGTGCATTATTGGTTTCAACAAAGCTTGGACAGCAGAAAAAAAGAAAAAGAAACAGTGCTAGATTTACATCATAGGCAAACTTGCTTCAGGTTTTAATGCAATAATGATCAACAATCCATTTAAAATTATCATAAATGAACTATTTATTATATGGCAAGCGTCACTTCCGGCAAAAATGGTGCTCTTTGATTGGTGCAGAAACATTTTTTGCCTATCAACTATTTTCCCGTAATGGACCACGGTCCAAAACGCCTAATTTTACAGTCAAATGTAAACAAACTTCGTAAGGCAAACAGCTAAGCGCAAGAAAATGAAACAAAAGACAATTTAAGAATGTGAGTCGAAGGATAAACACTCGAAAAACAGTTCAACTATCCAGACTATAGAATTTGAAACGATTTCTTTTTTACTGACAAAAACTAGAAGAGTGAAAAACAACCCGTACAGAACAGCAAAGATGAGAAAGAAAGAAAGCTTCGTGTCATGTTAAACAATGCCATATAATAAACCTTTTAATAACCTTGCTATCTCAGTCTTTACTGAGATATATCGGAACAAGGTCTTCTATGATGAACTAAAACGAACTTTAAAATGCAACTGCAGAATGCAGATAAAGTCTAACAAAATATTTCAGTAACAAAGTGTTGCAATTCAGTATCTCTTATTGCTATATGTATGCAGATAATTTGTGATGTGCCGATTATACTAAAAAGCTGAAGATCAGTGAAATCACTGAGATCAGCGGCATGAAAGATTAAAGATATACACATTCTTTTTTTCTGCAAAATTTTATTGAACAATATGCTAAGTAAGTATCTAAACAAATTCTTTCTATAAGCAACATCGGCTAACGCTTTTTTCCTAAGAGCAAAACTTTCCTTTCGATTAATTGAGGAGATGCTAAAGAGCCTCAAGCTAAAAAAAGAAAGATTGTCAAAATATTTGTTTTCATATAAAAATGATTATAAAAATGAAAAACGCTTTTGTCATTCTCACCAATCCACATTTCACAGCATTTGAAAACAGCAATGTCGTGAAGCCAACTGCCACGACAATCTCTTTTGAACCCAGTGATGTAGAATTTCTTTCCATTACATGTCGTCCAACCTTTCTTGTTTAAATTATATTTGACATATTGATAATGACAAGAACCATATTTGTTGGGATGATTCAGAGGTTTGCAACATTTTCCTGCCTCGATGTTGCGTAATCGGTTACCACGAGAACAAAAGAGACCATTTAGAAAATAGCTTTTTAGGCAAACACTCCATTTGCCTTTTCTAAAATACAATATTTCTAGAAATGAGTGGATAGCCTTATTTATTGAGCATTGATGGCACACAGAAATTTTTTTGTTATTTTAAATAGCATTAGCAACCCATGACTATAGCTGTATCATATTTTCTGAGATCATAATCTACAATGAACAAATGTAATATTCTGTGAAAAAGATCCCCCCAAAAATTTGCGCTTATGCATTATGAGTAGAATTATTTGCATTGCTAAGTGCAATTAAATTCATTGCATAAAAAAATGACATATAAAAACGGAAAGATGACTTTTTCATATAGTCTGACTATAGGAGCTGTGAGTGTGTCTGGCAATATATAAATATCTAAAGATTATTCTTCCTTAATATTTTCCCTTTCTTTGTTTATCAGTTTTCTTCTCTTTGAGAATTCTAGCTTTTTGAAGACGTCGCATTATTTTTAAAAAGCTGTTAGTGTTGCTAATTTTAGTTGAGCGAACAATAATAACGAGGAAACTTCACAAAAACAAAGTCCTACTATCTTACTCCCAAGAGCCTACTCATATAGATCAGTGCTCAAAATTGATTAGAAGAACAATATTGCACAAAACGCAATAGATATGACTAATAAAAACCCATGCAACCATTAGGTATACGCACTTATTAGCTAATTGAACCGTTAAAACAATTCACGACTCGGCGATGCACGTAAAATTTCTATTTTTTTGCGTTTTGTACTTCTGACAGATATTTAGTTCTTGGGTGGGAGGTCAGGGCGTAGAATTTGTAAATTATTTCACAAATTACTTCTGGCTGTGCTAACTTTGAGAATTCAATGGCAAACCCCCAAAATTGTAGCTATAAACTATTTTACCCAGCTGTTCTCATGGATTGTTTCTCTAAAAAATAGGATCGATGGAGGTTAGCTAAAATTTACAACAGCCAAAACATAAAATAAAAGTAAAGATTGGAGATGATTAGATTTATGTATGAATTGCATAGCCCGTGATATTGTTCATTTTCAAACATCATTTTTTCTAAATTTCAGTAGCTACATTCATTTGTTTTCCACAACTCTGTAAATTTCTGCCATATTTTCAAAAAAAAGACGAGAGATTTCCAGCCCGCCGAGATTTCTATCACTGCTTGGTTCATTTTCACCATAACATCATTAGCATATACGTGCTTCATAATCTAACATATAATAACTAGCTAAAATTTTCTTCTGGGAAAGTTAGCTACTAACCTGTTGAAAGAATTCCACCAGTTACCATTTACGCATATACTTTTTTGTGCAGTATATTTTGGATGAGATGTGCAGCATTTTGCATGCTCTAGACGGGAAATTCTATCAAATCTTCTGGTATATCTGCTGCGATATAAGCCAGTGATAAAATTCTTTTTGGTACGACATTTTGACCATCCCCTTTTGTCAAAAGATTTCGACCAATCGGCATTAGTGCAGACAGGTAGAGCGTTGACTGAAATAAAAAAGATAATTTATTTCTCTTAGAAAATCAACAGTCCTAGTATACAGCATTTTTTATTATTATTATTACAGTATTTCAGTACACTTACAACAAGGTGATTTTCAGGCAGGTCTTACGATATGATTATTTAAGTTGAAAATAAACTTCCATTATTAACAGTGAAAGTATGATTACACAGTGAAGTTAAAAAGTTACGTAATATACTATTATAAAATAAGATAAAAAAATGGTGAAATATTTCTATATCTCAGCTAGAACAGCAACGTAAAACTTTTAAAAGAAATCAAGGTGTTTGATAGCCTTTGATCAAAATTAACTCCAACTGGGAACGAACTTTGCTTTCATTTCAATTCTGTTTCTATTTTTCCTTCCTCATTACATGAAAAACGTAGCAAACAACGTAATCATCTTTAAGAGAGTCAAAATGGGTTTTGGGTTGAGGAAGGCAAATGTAACTACCCCAAATAGGCTTGAATTCAAAGAGGGGGGATTCAAAGTTAATAATCATTTTATGTTTTCATTAATTTATTGCTTAGAATTTTCTCTATATGCAACCTCTAATACTAGTAACGACGAAATAAAAAAAACTGTCGCAGCTACAAACGGTGCGTGCTCTTTGAAAGAAAAATGTTATGCGCTCTGTTTTATTTGACAAAAAGCAGTCGTTCAACGAAAAGAGTTTTGCTCATGTTAATGCATTTTTGTTATTAAAAATTTCAAAATCTAAATTCGTTCCCAGTTAGGAAACATAATTACGGCAAAAAATAAAACAAGGGAAGGTGAGACAGATGGAAAAATTTACAAAACACGCTTACCCTCACAATTCTTTCCAGTAAAATCAGATGTACATTTACATTGATGAGAAGATCCAACATTTGTACAAGTACCACCATTCTTACATGGATTTTTAGTACAAGCATCAATATCTAAATAGAAAAACCTTGTGTATATTAAGCCATGTTTAAACAAACTCCATTAACGTCGTGTAATAATATGTATTGTGCGTGAGCCCATGACTCCGCAGAGATTAATCCGACCTGGTTACAGAAGGAAAAATACAAAGTAAAGGAGATATGAAATTGTACAAATACACTCACATTGGCAAGTCTTTCCTCTGAAACCAAATTTACATTCACATTGATAAGAAGATCCATTCGTTTTACAAACACCGTCATTTTTACATGGTTGTTTTGCACATGGATTCATAACTACGTAAAAAAATATTTATACAAAACTTTGCGACGAAATGCTTTAAAAAACTGTCGTTTTTATCATAACTGATAGTCGTGTCATGGGATCCTTTTTTAATATCATAATCCGTGTTCAAAATATTTTAATGAAATACTATATGTGCCAATTATAGTGACTTTAAAACCAAGTTCCATTTTTAATAATTATTATATTATAATAAATAGATCCTTATTTGACTATTTTATACGCAGACAAAGTGTTTTGAACAAATCACTAGAAAAAAATTCAAGTTTTAAGCAAACCTTCGCACGTTTTGCATTCAAAACCATAATCACATTCGCACGAAAATGTACTTCCGTTGTTTGTACAAATACCGTTATTTTTACAAGGACGCGAGTCACACGGTGTTGGTACTGGAACTGCAAAGCAAAATTATTACATTAGGGCAAAAGTATTTTTCTTATATTTAATTAAAACATGCGTAAACTTAGCAATTGTCTGCAATGACGTTTTTAATCGTGAACACAATTTACAAACAGAGTAATCGAAACTGTTTCCATATTAAGCAGTAAAAGACTCAACCCGAGTTTCTAATTGATCATGCTTACTTAGAGGAAAAACAAGTTATTTTGTAATTTGATAATTTTATAGTTTTGACCTTTGAATAAAGTAAATTCATGCATATTAGTGATGACCAATATTTCATTTTTGAAAGTCATCTTTACAAAGATGACAACGATTCATGAATAACAAACCTTCACATGTTTTTCCTTTATATTCTTTGGTACAAGTACAAATGAAACTATTCCCACTCTCGCTACAAGCACCGTCATTTTTACAAGGGAAAGACTCACAAGGACCTATAAAGGTATATAAATATTTCATAGCGTTATTTAGAAAGGTTTCGCACAAGCATTTAGTAAGAAAAAGAGTTGAGATGCGTTTAACAAACTTTATCCACATGTAAAAGCTAAATAGTCCAACTACAATATCCACATGTAAAAGCTAAATAGTCCAACAGCTCATTGTTATACTTTGTTATACATTGCTATACTTTGAAAAACATATACAATAACTGAACTATTTACATCAAATTTTACAAAAAATGTATACCTTTAGACAATGCATTTTGCGTTACAATGCTTAAAATGTTAAGTTTTAAAAAGCTAATGTTATTCTTACCTATAGTGGAGCATTTTCGATCTTTGACACAAGCCATAGCTCCCATATTACACGTACTGAAGAAAAAATAAAAATAGATATAATACAGTGATGTAACATTCTTATCAAAATAAAAAATTATCTACCATGTTTTACATCGTCCAACTTTGACATTTTCGCCAGCTTTATAATACTTTCCTTCAAAGAAACATGGGCATTTCTTCACAGGAACACAATGATTCTTGTCATCCAAGTAAGATCCTTTGTGACAATAACAACCGGGAATGCAGGTTTCACTGCAGTTTAGACCACGTGATATATCACGACATGTTTTAGCACAAGCAGATCCGCATTCTGTGAAAACTTCTTCTTTGTTGCTGCATGTTTGCTCTGCATTGAAAAAACAACACATATTTATTTATGATTTATGACTGATCGATTGATTTTTAAAAAGCTAAATTGGTGCTTTGTATCATAATAAGAAAAATAAAGAAGAAAAAAATGTAAGTTTATTGAGTTATCCTTACCACATTCTTTGAGTTTTGGATACAAATAAGTTCCATTGAATCTCCAGTAAAGAACTCCACCATATTCAACACAAAGTTTACTGTAAGCAGCAAAAGCGTTACAAACACATTTCATTGGATCAATACAACGACATGCGTCATATTTGCAATTACTGATCAAATTTTCCTCGCTACTAAATCAATTACATGCACGGTAGAACGGAGAGCTAGTATCGCTCATCAAGTGACATTTATTCATCGCTGCTTTCTTTTTGGAATCAGGAATACATACTGCTGGTGGTGGAGCACATTTTCTACTGTAGTGAATGTCGTCATTTTTATCACCATTGTTGTTGCCACATAGAGATGTGTTGAAAACTTTCCCTTGTATTTACCAGAAACTGTCACCTTTACATTCATCCAAAAGTTCCAACTCACTGATACTCCGATGTGGGTTTTAACAATCAGCGAACTCCTACTGGGATTGGTGATTTCGAATCCTTAAATAAAGACATTAATATTTAAAGCATTAAAAAATAAACCAATGTTTTTTATCCATTCCGTTCTACTCATAAGCTCCATCATGAGCATTAATTCACTCAGCGTCAAGACGTATGAACAAATACAAATAAAATAACGTTAAAACTCATACCGGGACGGATTATTGGGAACTTTGACAGCCTAACCCTATTTACAACTGCTGTACCACGCTGACGTGTCATCAAAATTGAGTTTCCAGCTATAATGATGCTGACATATTCTGTACAGGTAGCACTCTTTCCACAAATGACGTTTTTAGTACGGACTTCAAAAAGTTTGTCTTTGCTACAGTCTTTTGCAAACACGTATTCACAGTCTCCCATGAAATCGAATCTTTGCCATCAAATGAGGTGTAATGAGGATCACCAGAAGCATAACATGACGCTAAGTAAAGGGAAAAGATCATCTTTTGAAAAAAATATAAACACTGATCTCTTCTAAAAGTAAAAATAAATTGGTATGATGGATAAATTGTGGTGGAATGAGTATTGTTTTATTCCGATTAAATTTCATTCAAATGACAAAATTCGCATGTTTCCACATTTTGGAGCCTGGCTTTAATTTGTCAAAACTACCCTGTGTATCTATTGTAGTTTCATCGTGCTTAATTATATCTAACTCCGCAAAATTTTTAAATTGGTATTGATTGATTGATTGAGTTGATTGGTTCAGCTAAGATTGGTTTGCACAGTCTAATGCAAAGACGACCAATGACTTATCTTCGCACACATATTAAAGTGTTTATTTTATAAATTTCAGCAGCATCAACAAATAACAAAAATAGACAATAGAGCGAAACAAAATTGATTTATTACATCAATGGAACGATCCAAATGATAACTTTAAAATGAGTGCTGCTTAGATCTGATTCATGGTAACCAATGTTAAGAAAATAATTTGAACTAACAGATTCATTTGAAGCTATTGAAATCAGGTAAGAAGGAAATCAATTTTTTCTTTATACTTACTTTCAGAATGTTCACAGTTGTTACCGCCAAACTTAGGCTTGCATTTAAACGGGTTAATTTTGCCAAATACGTTGCATTGTCCACAGTTTTTACATGGATTTGGCTTGCAAGGACTTGGAAGCTCTTAAAAAAGCACAATAATATACTTCAGAATTTTTAATCACTAGTAAAAATAATAGTAATATAGAACTAACGTTCTGAAGAATTTTTTTTCGTTTAAATAAAGTAAACCCTACTAGCTTAAAAAACATTAATAATTATTGTACTAAAGTTCTTGCTTTCAGTTTCAAATAATAGTAAGGTGGATCTTCATTTTAAGCTATATGAGCTGTGCATCGCATGTTTGCATTTTGTTTTCAATATTTATTGACTTGTGGTCAGAACTCTTGAGATAAAGCAACTTTTATTCAAAGTCTCATAACACGTCATGACTTTAAATATTTACCCTTTTCACAGTGAAATCCAACAAAGTTAGGAGGACAGTTACATTTGTATGAATTGCTTTCAAAAAGACATTGGGCACCATTTTTGCAAGGGGAATGATCACAAACTCCAACTAAAGATGAAAAATATATTTTAGAAGAGAAAGGCAAATCAATTGATTCGTTTAATCCCGAACATGACGGTGGTCTTAATTTTCCTTAATATCATGAGCAGCAGTAGTGGAAAAGTCTATCAAAGTATTGTTGAATTTTTTTTCAAATATAAAACTGACTTTTTAGAAAAATTTAGAATTCGAACCACATACTTTCATGGAAAAAGTTAATCATTAATATACTTCGGCATACGTATGCTGTTAACAATCCACAATACTTTACACTGAAGTTTCGTGATCACCTCAAAAATTTTAGCACTTTGAAATCTTTACAAGATCAAGCAAATACAAAACTAACATAACACTTAATGTTTGATTACGTAGTCATGGCAGTATAAGATCTTTCATACACATGTCAGAGCATTTTTGTTATATATTAGAAAAAAGAAGTCATAAATGTGCAAACCTTCACAGGTTTTGCCTTTAAAACCATCAGCACATTTACACGAGAATGTATATCCTTTTTTCGTACAAATACCCTTGTTTTCACAAGGATTTTGCTGGCACGGTTTTATCTCTATAAAAAGATTATCAGGTTAGGACAAATAATTATAGTCGAGAAAGCCGCCTTAATTGTGATAAATCTCTAATATGCCTACTTGTTTGAAGAGATTACAAAAAATATTTGTAGCTCCAGGTCTATCAAGAGATGTCCTTCATCTCACAAGAGATGCCCATGCACTTTAGCCAACTGCCTTAAGTTTCTGATGAAGAGAAAAATTACAGTTAAGTGTACAGCTATCAAAGAGTTTGATCCCTAATTATCACAGCCAGGAACGAAAGATGTACTTAATGAAACCCTGATTTTCTAAGACAATTATTTGGACCAAAATGCCGCTATTTGCTTCAAATGATGATATAATAACGAGACAAACAAGTTAACGTAAGACAGTAACTAAACTCCTACTATCTATGTAATCATTATCCCATTCACGTGTTGTTATTGATGGCGAAAAAATGGGTTGGCTTTGCTACTGCTAACGTAGCTTAGATCTAATTACGCTATCACATGCTTCATAAAATCAGAAAAATTTAATAGAAATCAAAATCTTGTAAAACTTTGCACATTAAGTAAAATTAGCTTAACGGTTTGATAGAAAACCACTAAAAAAATCTGGTTACATCGTGCACAAGTTATATACAAAATATTATTGGATCATATTTATAATGTTTTTAAAACTTATTAAAATTTATTTTACTTTAAAATTTCATTAAAACATTGTTTTCTTCAGGTTTCTTGCCTTTACTATTTTTAACCTTTTGCAAACCAGGGCAATTCATTTTACGTCATATCTGTATTGGTCGGTGTGAATATAAATTGTATCACTTGCCGACTTGATTTCTATTTGAAAAACTTAATCACATAGAAATTTGCGCAAATTTCAACAATTTTAGGCAGGAAACGTTTCAAACTGTAATTATGGTTACAGTTTGAAACGTTTAATTATGGCTGATGACGAGTTTAACTTTGGATGACAATTGTCAAATGAAAGAGAACATTCATCAACACTTATAACAATAATAAATATATTTACAATACATAGATTGTTTCAAATCAATGGAGTTTTGCCAAAAGATGACTTTAAAACACCAGCAATGCCATTGTATTAATTCAATGCAAATTAAAGTTTCACAATTCGCCTTTTTTTGCGATTCTATCAAATGAATAGACCATTGTGGAAGGCTGACTTTAAAATACTAACCTTTGCAAAGAATTTCATTTCCCGAATAACCAATATTACATTTACATGAAAATTATCCTATTTTATTGGTACAGATTGCTTTCTTGTGACAGTTATGGGTAGAAAGGGTACATTCATTGATATCTTTAAAGAAATACACAAACAGTTAGTTTTACTATCCTGCTTATTAATCGAGAAAAAAGATCAAGTAGTATTATACTTTTATTAAAATCGGTAAAAATCTTCGCATTTCCTTAACGTCACCATTTTCCCTCACATAATCGTTCACTATCATAGCTCTGAATTGAAATATTTGAGCTACAATATTTACTTTAACACTAAATCTTCTCTTGAAAATTTTATTATGCATTTTTGAAATTTTTTAGAGTGTTCAAAACAGCTATCACTAAACTCAGAGGTCTAATGAGAACGCAAGTTTTAGATGAAGTCATGACTTTGAAGCATCGAACATTTTGGCTGCCATCTTTGAAACCACTCATGATTGCCGCCATTGATAACCGAGTGACAAAAAATTGACTTTTTTAAGTCTGTGATTGATCTTAAAATATAGCGCCTTTATAAGGCTGTTTTAAGCTCGATATCTGGTACATACATCGAATTGTTATATTTACCTTGTTCACTTGCACAAGGATAGTTTTAAGATGTTTTTTGCATGCTAAAAATCACTCTGTGATTTTTTCACATTTTTAAAGTCAAATAACTTTGATATGGAACTGGTACTAGAGATAATTTGTATCTGAATGAATGCAGATCATATACAGCTTTCCATTACATTATGCACTTTCCCTAATGAATGGAAAATTGCAAGACTAATTCCTTTATTTGCAAATGGGCAAAAGAATTTGCCTACCAACTACAGACCAATCTCTGTTTTGCCATCAATCAGCAAAATTAAGGAAAGGATTTTATACAACCAACTTTATGATTATTTGAATGAATTTCACCTATTAAGTGACTCTCAGTTTGGCTTCCGAAAACATCCCTCAACAGCTACTGCCTTACTGGACTGTACCAATAGCTGGTATATGAATATTGACAAAAAATTATTCAACCTAGTGGTATTTATTGACTTCAAAAAGGCTTTTGATACTGTAGATCATGAAATTTTATTAAGCAAGCTTGAGCACTATGGCATAAAACAAGACGCTTTGTCTTTAATAACATGTTACTTGACCAACTGTACTCAGTTATGACAGATAAATGGAACAATTTCATCTGAACAGTTGGTAAAGTGTGGTGTACCACAAGGTTCTATTCTAGGACCACTACTGTTTTTATTATACATTAATGATCTACCTCAATGCTTACAAAAGACAAAACCAGATTGTTTGCTGATGATACAAATTTAACAGCAGCAGGAAACTCACTTACTGAAGTTGAAGCTGCTATGCATTTCAATCTGGAATGCCTAAGAAGGTGGTTGATTGCCAATAAACTAAGCCTAAATGTTGCAAAGACTGAATTTATGTTGATTGGCTCTAAACATAATGCGAATAATATGATGACAATAATGCGAACTCAGGTTTTGGTCAATTTGCGCACGCGTTGTATTGTTATCTTTTCATACCATTTCATATCATTTCATACCATTTAAACTGGGCAAAAATATAAAGGGGTGGGGGGAGGTGGGTGTCTCATAACCGCAAAAAATTATTGGGAGTTGCTGTCGGTAGAAGTACCACATACGTATTAGTCTGAAGAAAAAAGATTTTTGACCACTAAAAAAAATATTAATTTGGATTAAGCGTAAATAAGAGTTTAGAAACTAAAATTTTGGTATAAATCAAGAGTAACTTAAGAGATAGACAGATAGTGTGTAAAACATATGTTGTTTGAAGAGTGTCACAGTACGAAGGGAACAGGCTCGATTACTGTGTGATTACTTTGAGATTACTGCGATATTAATTAATAAAATAACACATCCTTGAAAATTGTCGAGGTTTTGTCCTATAGTGTATTTGCTACAAGCTCGTTGACTAGTCGCTCGAAAGGAGGACTTCACTATATCTCTTGCAGCTGCCTGCAAGTAAATCAGAAAAAAACTTTCTTTCAAGCAAAATTTCTCAAATGATGCAATGCATAGCGCGCAACGTATTTATGTAGGAGGATCCCACTACAAAGCAAGGGAAATTGAATTCAAGTACTTTTCAATGACTTTCAAGGATTTACTCTAAACAATTGAAGGCGAGTAAAAATTAATATTGCATGCAAAATACAACAAGAAAAGAACTCAATATCAAAAATAAAATCAAAGAACTTTTTCAAAGTAATGTTGTCGTTTCATTTGACATGAGCCGACATGATGGTTGATTAAAATGTTAACTTTACTAACGAAAAAAAACTAATCACAGAAATTTGACCGAAACACTTAAAATTCAAGATCTTTCAAGCACCTCTTTATGAATTAATGACTTTTCATAGACATTGAAGTGTTGTACAAACCTTGTTGAACTAAGTATTAACACAACTTCATGAATTCTGTCTTGTTTATACACAACAACTCGCATTTCTCTCAAATTACATACATGAATGTAGTAACGTAAAACGTACATGAGATGACTTTTAAGAAATAATTCATGAACCATTCAACCCTTACCTGAACAAAAAGCCAAGTGTATGCAATATTTTGCCATCGCTCGCCCTCAACCATAAACATGCACATGTTCGTTAAAAATTCCATAAGTTACTTCAGCAAAATGTATCATCCAGATTTGTTTAACGACGTATTTTAATTCAACTGACATAAGTAAAGTTTTCCCGTAAATTAACCTATACAGTTTACACAGATACTTATGGAAAGATGTCGTTTGTATTCAAAATAAAAACCTGCATAAAGTTAACATGAAGTACTGCTCGAGGCAGTGTTGCCACTCCTATTATTTACATTTCACTATTTTGACAGTATCTACGTTTTACTATTTAGCTTTGCATTTCAGTACATGGTTGTAGGGTTTGTTTAACATTGACCTGACATGGGCTGCTAAATGTCAACTACAAAGATAAACTGTTCATTCTTTATAGGTAAAAAAATGAATGACAAAAAACAGTGTCGGATTAAACCCATGCAAGACAAGAGTCCACAATTTTGAAACTGATGTCTTTGGGCAAGATAACATGCGCTAAAGTGCCCGACTCATTTACGTATAATTACATGTGCACTAGAATAATATATTCATACAAGTGTTCTATAGAGTACAGTAAGATGTCTAAATTTCATTCATGGGGTTTTCTACCAATTTGAAAAGACGATAATGTTTTCAGCAAGTCATTTAAAAATATTTTCTGTGTTAAGTATTTACCCTCTATAAAGCCTTCCCTTTTAAAAGTTGTCTCCAGCCCAGTTGTGCATAAAGCATTTGCCATGGCAAAACGTTTTGAAAAGCTTGCAAATACGATAATGAAGATGACGTTTTTCATGCAGAAATTCATATGATAACATGTTCCAAATACAGCATTATGCATCAACACATTGATATATATAAGGTCAGTGTGTGGTATATGTCACGATAATTGTCACTTCATCAACATTCAGGTATTAAGGCAAAAAAGTGGCCGTAACTGCGGCGTTTATTTGTTAAGGTTTGCATAATTGTCGTGTAGAGATTGGCTATTGTTAAATATGTAAATAATGTAGGCCAAGAAACTCCAGTATGTGAAATTGTTAATACAACATCTAAGTTTGCTGTTTTTTAGGAATAAAAAAGACGAAAATAAAGATAGAAAACGTAAACAGCTTTTTAAAGAGCTTCTTCAAAATTCTGTCTCAAGTTATGTTAAGTTAAGTCAAGTTAACTAGTTATGTCAGTGGATAATGTCATAACCTTTCATCCAATACACTAAAATTATTATATGCTGAAAGTAATCGTAGTATATTTCTCCATCGTATGAATCATGTTTAGACTTTACTTGCTAATGCTAATAGCAACCAACATGGCAAAAATTTCAATGTTTTTCACGTCTTAGGGGGGTGGTATCACAAATATTATCATTGCGTCTTAGAGCACATTTAAGTAAGATTAAAAGTATGTATTCAATTATTAAATTATTAATAACAAGTTTGCTGCATTTAACCACTCAAAACTGCTGATCGAATGGACTGGATATAGCTTTTACAAAATGTATAAAAAAAGTAAATGAAACATTTATAGGTAATCATGAATCTAACATTGCGTTTTGCACTTACATTTTAACTTTAAATATATCAAGAAAAAGCAGTTTTTTGTTTGTGACTTTCCAATGGTATTTTTATTATTTCATAAAATGCAGCATTAATTAAGTAAAATCAAATTACAATGTGAAATACATTATTCCACGAGTGAGAATTCCATACAATTGATGATTCTCTATAAATGATACAACACATCAAAAACCTGCTGTTCAATCCAGTGCCAAATCATTGTTGGCACGATGACGGATATGATAAATTGAAACCATTTGGATTTTCAATTCACAATGTATTGACGGTTTTAGCCGACGCATCATGTGGATTTAAATCACAAAATTCAATAATAATCTCAACGTTATTTGAAACTTGTTTTTAAATTGTGCAAAAGATCAACAAAGCTGCCCGACCATCATAAGAAATGACATAGGGACGGAAAAATACGTAATGGCTACAGCTCAGAGTTTTTTACGACGCACTCACCAGGATGTAATCTCTGGATTACAGGCTCATCAATATGGCTCTTCCCATAGCAATCAAAGAATTGAAGCGTGGTAGGCTATGCTGCGTCGAGCATGGGCATCGTGGTGGATAAACTTTTTAAAAGAACTTGTTGCTAATGGAATTTTGGACAAAAGTAAAAAATTGCATGTCGAATGTCTTTGGTTTTCATTTATTAATGTAATGAAACAAAGTCTTAATGACATTAAAGAGTCGTGGAAGAGTCATTACGTTTGTAGGTCAAGGTACCACATAGCCCACGGCATACCCAACCAACTTTTCTTTTTACCCGAGTCTGTACATGCATTGGATTGGAAAAGATCTATCTTCATCAGGACATTATAGAGATTGAACACCATATTAACCTACCAAATGACGAC